CAGTTGTGCATGTATTTTGTGGGGGGGAGGTGTAAACGTTAAAGAGACCGTTCGAATATAAACCGAAAAAAGAACGTACGCGCGAGACCCTTTCTTTGTCGCGTAACATCTTCGTCGCCGTGACATCACAACGGGCGGCCAATTGTTGCGCGAGGAGTTCGCAGCTTCCAGTTCGCGAGTCATACGGCGGCCAGGGCACGCCGCGCGCATGTGCAGTGAAGCGCCTGTCGCCATTGCTGTTGAGATTGTTCTCGTTCCGGCCCGGTGACAAGCTGACGGGGGTATCCGACAAGACAGAGGAGCTGACGGATGGTGGGAGGGAGAGAAAAAGAAGACGGTTATTAGAGACCGAGCGGAGGGTCAGGAGAAAGAGAAAACGAACAGACGCTCGTTTTCAGTGAGTATTAACCCCGTCCTCGTTTGATGGATCCGAGGGTAGCCTGGTTTCAGCCAGAACAGCTCGGACCTGCCAACATTTTGTGGATGCAAATTTGGGAAACGACGCAAGGGCTGAGGAATCTGTTCTTTAATAATAACTGTGCGGCGGCAACGGCGACGGCAGCAACGAGTGTGGGCACCGAGACTATGTTGAGAGATAGGAGCAGCCAGGGAGGAGGGGACTTGGGCGTTCAGAGGGATTTCCTCCCACTCGAGCCCAGCGCAAATAACAGTAACTTCCCAGCCAGCCCAGGAGAAGGTGGCTGCCGGAAGGGCTACCCCGACAACAGCAATAGGACCAGTGGTACGGGCAATAAGAGGAAACGGGACAACAAGGCCAGCACTTTCGGGTTAAACTACAGCCTCTTGTCTGGAAATGGCCATTACAACGGAACTCCCTGGAAAAGCCGGAACTACAGCGAGGGAGTCTTGGGGTAAGAGTTCTTACTTGATTCTTTTATTTCCCCCCCCGCCATTGTGGAGGTGGCTTCAGGTAATCCTTCTCTCCGTGGATGTTCGGTGAAAGCTAATTTCTAGTGTTTGTCACGTCGCAGAGGAGTTCACAAATCGTGTTTTAAAGACAGCTCCGTCGATGCCCTCATTTATAATGCAGCCAATTCGGTGGATATCACAGGTTGCCCACGTGTTAAAGTGGTACTGTCTTAATGAAAATGTGACTGGAAAAGTTTATTTTTTGAGTTTATAGAAGAAAGAATTTTGCGTTTACTGCCTTTCAAATCATGTATTTGGTGCACTTTATCACTTCATGATGTGTTAGCAATAGAAGGAAAGTTTAGCCATTTTGTAAGACTGCCCGTTTAGGATCATTAACTATACCCATCAGACGCTGTCGTATAATAGAGTCCATTTTGTTTAATTACATAAGAAACAGTTTTTTTTATGTGAAATGCCTACATCAATCTCTTGCCCTATTTCATCTGACACTTCGAATGTGTGAAATTTTAAAATGTTCAAATTGTTCATTAATTGACTTTTACACAGTGTGATGTATGGTCTTTGAGTCTAAATGATATTTAAATTTGTACACAAATTTGTGTTTCAGTTAGCATCTCAAAAATAGGAATGTATTTAATTTACTTTAATTGGGCATCACTATAGTACCCATGAATGTTCAAGAGAAAAATTGAATCTCTACACTGCAGAGAAAAGCCACGGTGCATCAAGTCTGCACTGACTCTCTGAAGAACATCCCACCTAACCCATGGCGCTCTTCCCCACCCCCATCCCATCCCCTCCCCACAACTCCGCATTAAGCGTGATTCATCCACCTTGCCTACCCATCTGTGGGCACTATGGGACAGTTTGGCATGGCAATGAACCTCACCTACATATCTTTGGACTGTGGGAGGAAATGGGAACACCTGGCAAAAACCCGTGCAGACATGGGGAGAATGTGCAAACTCCACCAAGATAGTCACCCAAGACTGGGATTGAACCTGGATCTTTGGTGCTATGAGGCAGCAGTGCTAACCACTGTACCACCACAAGACATTGGAAAAAAACTTGCTTCTTTGCTTCTTTATTTTAGGATGTCTGCTTTCACTTTGAAACATTACTGTAGGTGATGGCTTTATTTTTTTAAATGATTGACACATTGTGCTTATATTACAAAAAAAGTTTTCCCCTCAAAAAAAATTGAAAGCAGACATGCATAGTGAATTTCAGTCTGCCCACGTGGTTTCCATATCTGTTTCTTGAAGGTCAATATGGGTAAATATGGACAATTTGAGCATGTAAATTTTGGAGTGAGTGGCAAACTGGGGATTTGGAAAGAACCTTCTCAGGTGGAGTTAATACTTCAAAACTGCTGATGTAGCAGAATCCTCATTTATCTTTTGTGAATTTCAAGATGTGACTACACATTTTAATGTTATCACCTGCTTTATGATTTTATTCAGATTAATTTGCTTTAAAACAGCACTATTTTTTTATCTTGAACTCTTCAGATTCACAGCAAGAAATGAAAAATCTATAATTGCTTTCCCTCTTACTAAAGGTGATTTCCAAGTAAATGTGTATGACTGTGAAATTAATGAGGATATCACAACATTTCTTGGTTCATTGGGTAAATATGCCATTGAATGTGTCATGAACATGGGATCTTTCCGATCTATATGTGCTGAGAGTACCGAACTGAACCATTGTAGCAGTTGTGGTTAAGTTGTACAGTGAGCCATGGAATCATAGAATGGCTTTGGCGTAGCGAGGGTGTTCACTTGTGTGCCTGCTCTATGCAAGAGAAACATGACTCGTCCCATTCACCTGCCTTTTCTGTGTAGTTCTGCAGTTTATTTTTCCTTTATTGCTTATTATGCAATTCTCTTTTGAAAGCCATGATTGAATCTACCTCCCCAGTACACACTCAGGCAGTGCACTCCATATCCTGGCACTGGTTAATTAAAAAGGTTTTTCCTTCTGATTCCTTTGCCACTCATCTTAAATTGGAATTCTTTGGTTCTCAACCCTTCTGTCAATAGGAACAGTTTCTTCTTATTAACTCTGTCCGGATCCCTTTTTTGAATATTTTTATCACATCTTATTTAAGCTTTCTCCTCCAAGAAGACCAGCCCTGACTTCTCCAGTCTCAGTGTAACTGAAGTTCCTCATTCCTGAAACTGTTTGCATAAGTCTTTTCAACACCCTGTCTAGTGCCTTCACCTCCTTCCCAAGTATGGTGCTGAGAATTGGATACAATATTCCAGTTGAGGCTAAAACAGAGTTCTTATAAAGGTTTGCTTTATGTTCCTTTCTTCTATTCTCTATGCCTCTAGTTATTAAACAGAGTATCCCACACATGTTAAAACCAACTTTCATAACCTGTTCTACTGCCATCAATAGATTTGTGCACATATACCTCTGGACCTCTCTGTTCCTGCACTTCTTTTAGCAATGATCTTAATTCGTTCTATATTATCTGTTTCTTCCTTTCCACATGTAGATTGTTGTGTACCAGTCAATCTGATGATAAAACAACCCAGTTTTACAGGGCCAAAAATAACGCTTTTGCATATACTTGGCATACGAGCCTACCTCACAGCAACAGAGTTCCCCACTGCCACCAAATCTTCCTGACTATGATGTGCTGCATTCACATTTGAAAGGGATCGAGCATACAGTATAGGCTGTGTTGCAGGATTTGTGGAAATTTGAGATAAAACCCCTCAAAGGGAAATAAGACTTTCAACAAAACAAATCAAGTATGCACCTGGATTCAGGCTAAGGATCGTACATTTGCTCGTGTCAAATGTGCTTCATCGAGGCAATATTAGTGGAAAACTACTACAAGCAAGGAAGAAGCAGTAATCGTACCTAAAAGAAGATACCCAAGACCATGGCATCCCATTGGGGTCACGAACTAAAATTTTAGGGCTATGAGTTCCAAAGCAACATGGCTTCTTTAGACCCTTGCAGTATTTAAAAATAATGGACACGGCTTAACTAACTAATCCTTGAGGTCTGATTGCTGTGTTGAAAAGCCCTGTGGAAAAGTAGATAACAAGGTGTAGAGCTGGATGAACCAAGCAGCATCAGAGGAGCAGGAGGGCTGATGTTTCGGGCCTAGACCCTTCTTCAGAAAAAGGGGAGGGGAAGGGGAGGCAGATAGAAGATGGATAGATGAGAAGATAGGTGGAGAGAAGACAGACAGGTCAAAGATGCTGGGATGGAGCAAGTAAGGTGATTGTAGGTGGGGAGTTCAGGTAGGTCAGTCCAGGGAAGACGGACAGGTTAAGGAGGCGGGATGAGGCTAGTAGGTCGGAGGTGGGGGTGGGGCTTGAGGTGGGAGGAGTGGATAGGTGGGAGGAAGGATGGACTGGTTTGGGGGGCTGGGACGAGCTGGGCTGGTTTTGGGATGCGGTCGGGGGAGGGGAGATTTTGAAGCTTGTGAAGTCCACATTGATACCGTTGGGCTGCAGGGTTCCCAAGCAAAATATGAGGTCCTGTTCCTGCAACCTTCGGGTGGCATCGTTGTGGCACTGGAGGACACCCAGGATGGACAAGTCGTCCAAGGAGTGGGAGGGGGAGTTGAAGTGGTTCGCGACTGGGAGGTGCAGTCGTTTGTCGCGAACCGAGCGTAGGTGTTCCACAAAGCGGTCTCCGAGCCTCCGCTTGGTTTCCCCGATGTAGAGGAGGCCACATTGGGAACAGCGGATACAGTGTACCACATTAGTTGATGTGCAGGTGAACATCTGTTTGATGTGGAAGGTCTTCTTGGGGCCTGGGATGGGGGTGAGGGAGGTAGTGTGGGGGCAGGTGTAGCACTTCTTGCGGTTGCAGGGAAAAGTGGTGGGGCTGGGGGGAGTGTGGAGTGGACAAGGGAGTCACGCAGAGAGTGGTCTCCCCAGAAGGCAGATAAGGGTGGGGAGGGAAAAATGTCTTTGGTAGTGGGGTCAGATTGCAGATGGCCGAAGTGCCGGAGGATGATGCGTTGGATCCGGAGGTTGGTGGGGTGGTACGTGAGGACGAGGGGGATTGTTCTTGCGGGGAGGGGTGTGAGGGATGAGTTGCGGGAAATGAGAGACGCGGTTGAGGGCATTTTTGACCTCCTGTGGAGGGGAAGTTGCGGTCCTTGAAAAACGAGGACATCTGGGATGTCCGGGAGTGGAATGCCTCATCTCGGGAGCAGATGCGGCGGAGGTGAAGAAATTGGGAATAGGGGATGGCCTTTTTGCAGGAAGGTGGGTGAGAGGAGGTGTATTCTAGGTAGCTGTGGGAGTCGGTAGGCTTGAAATAGATATTGGTTTCCAGGTGGATTCCAGGAACAATCCCTCTTCCGAAGCTATGTTGGCCCTATCCCCCACCTCTTCCTCTGTTACATTGTTGACTGTATCGGCGCTGCCTCGTGCTCTTACATGGAGCTCAAACAGTTCATCCACTTCACTAACCCCTTCCACCCCAACCTTGCGTTCACCTGGACGATCTCTGATACCTCTCTCTCCTTCCTGGACCTCTCTGTTTCCATCTCTGGCAACCACCTCAAAACCGATATCCATTTCAAGCCTACCGACTCCCAGTCCATCCATCCTCCCACCTATCCACCCCCACCCCCACCCCCACCCCCTACCTACCAACCTCATCCCACCTCCTTAACCTGTCTGTCTTCCCTGGACTGACCTACCCCCATCCTAACTCCCCACCTACACTCACCTTTACTGGCTCCATCCCCGCCTCTTTGACCTGTCTGTCTCCTCTCCACCTATCTACTCCTTTATCCATCTTCTATCTGCCTCCCCCTCTCTCCCTATTTATTTCAGAATCCCCTTCCCCTCCCCCATTTCTTAAGAAGGGTCTAGACCCGAAACGTCAGCTTTCCTGCTCCTCTGATGCTGCTTGGCCTGTTGTGTTCATCCAGCTCTACACCTTGTTATCTCAGATTCTCCAGCATCTGCAGTTCCCACCATCCCTGTGCAAAAAT